GGCTTGATTAGTCTCGGATTTGACTGGTATTCTCACAACTCACATGAATTAGTAGCACTATTCTCAGCACGCATTGGAACGCATCTATGTCTTAAAAATACAGGGTCAATAATATAAATGTTTTAGGTAAAGATGCATCTGTCCTCTCACACTTATATCCACTACGTGTCACCGAAGCCACTTCACTTTGCCGCAAAACTGTATAAAAAGCATAGAATAGCCAACCAAATCATGAAATGTGTTATTAAGTAAAAAAATCAGGCTATAAGCTGTAGGTAGGATTGCAGCCGGCCATCTTTTCTTGTCTTAGCGCTTGGTGAATTTTCTCTCAATACTTTCCTAATTTCACATTTCAAACATATTCATTGGAGTCATATGATGGTGCTCTGTGGACATATACGGACAAGTATAGTCACGTTTCTAATGTAATCCTTTGGATCCCGGTGAGGCCGATTTACGAACCTCTTCCACTCGCCTTTATCTATGAGATGGAAGACACGAAAACAACTGATGTCAATTACCTTGGCTACACGTGCATCGCTTTGAAGCCTTTTTTTCTTGACTATTTGCTGTGACCTATTTAGATTAACACACTACATTAATCAAGAAAATCCTTGATAAGCATTTGGAGCTTTTCTCCCTTTTGAGTCTTAGTCTTTTTTGGATTATATCCATGTCTATATTTGGATTTTTGTATGAAAGAATAATAGTCCTTTTTCCATTTTTTATTTTTATCGTTTTATTATACCTTTTTATGTAAACCTCTAATTTTAGCTTTTTTTCCCCCCAGCAACTTCTCGCTTGCCCAGCCTTCTTCCTCTGCTTCGCCACCCGATCGAATTGTCTACTTATTCTTCCCTACAGCTACCTTCTCTAGGTGATCAACGGTCAGCGTCAGATTGTTCCTATGCTGCGATTTCAGACACAAAAGTTATCCCCGGAGAGGCTGACCTAATCAATGGGTCTGGCAAGGCCAAATCTCCAATTATCCATGGTCCTCCAATCCAACTATTATCTTGTCCTTCTAGTTTTTCTTCCTCTCTTATATCTGGATGTGATGTATCCTTTCCCCCAACTTCTGTCGCTGTCCCTGGTACATCGTTTCCACAGCGGGCGTCAACTTCTAAAGAGCCACTAAATCCTTTAACACTAACTCCAAAACCTGGTTCTCCAGCTCGTGTAAGCATGGCAGATGCGCCGGCACTTGCCTCTACTCACTACTCTGAGTGCATTAAAAATGCTGTCTGCCATGATTGTAGACTGAATCTCCCACGACCGCAATTGGACGCTGAACAATTCGCTGAGGCAGACCGCGATTGCCTTGCTGAAGTGGTGCTTCGCTGTGCTGGGTTGGGATGGGAAACACGACGTGATTTTGAACAGACCTGGATGGCCTACCTATCAGTTTTGTATAGCCGGTCAGCTGCACTTTTGTCCTCAGCAATTATGGTGGCCTCGGCTCAGGCCTCTGGGCAGACCGAACTCCAGGTCTCAAGTGAGGTTAGCACTTTGCTTGCACTTCGGATCTATAATGGTGTGTCTCTAACTTGGTCCCGCAAATGCTTGCTGCAGCGTATCCTTTCATTTTTCATTCATTGATCAGCATGCTGCTACCCAGTCGAAGATGGTTTCATAAATCCAGATTATGATCATATCTATATATTAATGAATTGCTTTAATTGAATGTGAAAGCCGTAATCGAGATTAGCTAACAACTTTACCTCAGAGTATGAATAAGACAGTTCTTTATCGTGTCCTCATGGCATATAAAACGGCTTGAATAACATATATTGGTAATTTGATGCCGAAACATGAAAGATAAAATTTTGATCCTGCTTTGTCAGCTTGTTTTGAATATTCGAGGGTAAATGTTCACGTTTATTTTCACCATCCTACATAATCGCTATTATCTTGATGACACACTGAAAGTATTTCTTACTGAGCTTAAGTTAAATGTTGGTTGATACCATTTCAATGTGTTATTTTTATTTCATTCATTTATTTGCTAAAAAGTTTTCGCTTATACTGCTTCTTAAAAGTATTGGAATCATTCTAGGACGT